GCTGGAACTGTCATTGTCCTTTTTGACACACTGTGGGAAGCAATTCCCCACCACGCCATCAGCTCTGCTCTCTGCCATTCTCCAGGCTCCTGGAGCAGTGGGGGTTCAAGTCCCTGCCACTGGCCTCTCACACCTCTTCCATTTCTAAGAAATCCTTTGGGTCTCCAGAGGCAGTGAGGTGCGCCATGAAAGCTGAGAAACTAGGACTGGGGGGAAGGAGAAAGGAATCCCAACTCCACCTGCTGGTATGAACCGCTTAGCTTCTCTGCAACAGGGCTACAATACGACAGACCTCACAGGGTTATGTTGAATGCAGGTGCATTGCATTGAACACATTGCCACCTCTGTCCCTGTAGGTAACGGAGACACACCACAACTCTCCCTAATATTTGGAAATGGGGATAGGGGATCCAGAGAGCTTAAGCAATATATTGAAGGCAACTGAGCAAATCAGAAGCCAAAGTGAACTCCCCTTTGGCTTCTGCCAAAAGTAAAAGTCAGCACTCCACAGTGAAAGGTGGGAGACATTCGCAAGCCTGGGGACTGTGGGTGGCAAGGGTACAGGCTGGAAGGGATCAATGGCTGGTCTTGAGTAACTCCACCCATGGCTTATGCAAGTAACAGAGCACTGACGTGATGGTAGTTTGGACAGAAGGGAAGGAAAACCCCTTTGATATGCCCTGGGCTTTGCTGCCACCTCCCCGGGGGCCACCGATTTTGATTTTCTCCTTTTATCCCCCAGTCATGGGGACCTCCCACCCCAACCCTCAGGCAACTGCAGTGGAGGAAGAGCTGCAGGGACTCAGAAGAACGTCCCTTCAATTCCTCAGGAAGCCTGTGAGCCTGATTTTAAAAAATATTACTAGAAATTAAGTTACGTTTAAAAATCAAGTTTAAGGCTGGGATTGTGGCTCAGCGGTAGAGCACTCGCCTAGCACGGGCGGGACCTGGGTTCGATCCTCAGCACCATATAAAAATAAAGGCATTGTGTTGTGTCCATCTACACCTAAAAAATAAATATTTAAAAAAATCAAGTTTAAAAGCAGCAAAAACACCCCACAACTAAATGATTAAATTAAAGCTAATAAATGTTCAAATCTCATGACTTCTGAATTATTTCACTCATTTTTATAATAACATATACTCCTGAGCTTGTTTACATCTATAACAACCATGTGATGTGTTATTGCACATGGCTTTTTTTTTTTTTTTTTTTTTTTTGGCATTGGGGATTGGACTCAGGGGTGCTTTACCATCCCCAGTACTTTTTTATTTATTTTTTTATTTGAGACATGGTCTCACTAAGTTGCTGAGGCTGGCTTTGAACTTGCCAGCCTCCCGCCTCAGCCTTCTGAAGAGCTGGAACTTCAGGGTGCGCCCCGTAGGGGGCTTGGCTCAGCATTTGCTAGCCACAGTGGACAGTGGATTTGGGTGACTTCCTCTTGCTGAGGTTCAGTTTTGTCTGTAGAATGGGAAACAGCAGTGATTCCAGAGGATTAAGTAGACACTATAATGAGCGGGGGAGGTGGTGTGTGCTGTCCATCCATGGCACAGGGGATAGGGGATTAGGGCTGGTCCCTAGAAACAGACCTCAAAGTGAAAGGTGACTTAGAAAACCACATGGGTGAAAGGAAAGGGGGGAGCTGCACTGGGGAGAAGTCATGGTGCAGACCTAACTGGGACTTGGCGAATCCTCCCAGGAGCGCTAGAAACAGACCTACCAGGCAGACTTGTGCCCCATTCCACTCAAATGGCCCAATCTTCCCATGCTCTTGCTCAGCTACCACATAGGGTCTGCCCAGGAAGAATGTGGCCTCAAGCAGCCTCTGCAGCTGAGGCTGACCCTATAGGAGGTGACATCTGGCCTCTCTCCCCATAGCTGAGCAGCAAGTGAGTCCTTCCTGGTAAAGGAGTAGGCATGTCTACCACCAAGGGTGCATTGACTTTAGAGAATATAAAATAAAAATAAAAACAGCTAACGTCTGTTGATTTTATCATTTTGTGCCAGCAAACCTAAACAATGTTGATAATGACATATTCTTCCCTGCTGAATCCACTCCCTCCACACACACACCCCTCCCCGTGACTGTGAATACCTGCTTAGAGATACTGTTGTTGTTACTGTTATTATTATTCTCCTCCGGTTTGTCAGGACTAGCAGTGGCAAATGCTAGAAACAACTCCATCTAGCTAAAGCTGATGGGGAAATGTTGGGTTCCTGCAGAAGCTGGGAATGAGCCTCGAGGCTCAGGAACCTGCCCCTCTCAGTTATAACTTCCTGTGCTGCCTTAGACCACAGACACACCTTCCCTCAGGGGGCTTCAATATAGCCACCGTAGAACCATTCAATTGGGTTGGCAAACCCCAAGTTCAGAGGCAGCCCCTTCTCAAGTGGAAGTCCCAGGGCAAACCCACATTGGCCTCTTCTGGTCCTGTGATCATCCCTGATCGAACCACAGGGATTCTCATGGGGCAATTCTAGCTCACATGCCCCACCCCTAACACTAGGGAAAGGGTCCCCCAGAAGAAAAGGGAGAAGCTGTCAAAAGAGGAATGGATACTGGAGAGGCAAGAACAAGTAGCCAGGAATCTGCTCGATATCCCCAGTGCCAAGCACAGAGGACAGGCTTCAAACCAGGTCAGATCCAGTGCCCCCATTTGCAGGGTTTGGGGTACTAATATTCAAGAGCGGAGCTGAGAGTGGCCTAAGATCACTGGGTCCAGTGTCCAGAGATCTTATATCCTGTGCCATCAACTTTCTGGACCCTTCAGGCTGTCACCGATACCTGATGAAACAGCTGCCTGTCACCCCAATGCTCAGGCTCACAGCTCTGTGCCTCAAAAGATAAAGAGCAGTCCCACCCCGATGCCTGCCCAACTGCACCAGCCCTGATAACACGACCAGCTGGGCACCCTGGCCGGCCCTCACCCCCTCGGCACCCAACTGAGATCTCAGCACTTGCTTGGTGACTGTGCAGCCTGGATGGGGAGGAGGGACATCCTGTTCACAGTCTTACACCTTAGAATCCTCATTACTGTCTGAAGTTGTGGATTCCAGGAAGCAGAGCTCAGGCTATTCGTTGTTTTTAGACCCATTAAAAAAGAAAAAATGTTGGGGTCTCCCTATATTGCCCAGGCCCATCTCAAACTCTTGAGATCAATTGATCCTCCTGCCTCAGCCTCCTGAGTAGCTGGGACTAAAGCAGGTGCCATTGCACCTGGCTTAGGTCTGCTTTTAAACTGTAACTAAAGCCTCTTGGTTTATTTGTTTCCCAAACATACCAAAGAGTCACAATGCAGCTGCTGAGTCACACTGTGCAAGCACAGCAGGTGGACAATGGGTGTGTGTCTGCTCAGCCTCTTCCCTCTGCTGACCTTGAGCAGAGCAGGCTTTAAAGTTCTGATCATGTTGCAACTCTGCTATAAAACGGTCAATAGACCCCACTGCCTCAAAGTAAAATCCAAATTCCTTAACTTGACATTTGAGAACCCTCCTTCCTCCCTTATAACAATAAATCCATATTATGATCATTCACTGAGTGCCTGCCACATGCCAGGCATCAAGCAAAGCTCGCTGCATACATTAGATCAGATGGTCCTCATAGCAACCCTGTGAGGAAGGTCTTATTAACCTTCCCATTGTACAGACAAGCAAACTGAGGCTCAGAGGGGGCAAGTGAATTGCCCCAGGCCACTCTGCTAGTGACGGACACAGGAGCACAAGTCTCTGTCTATGCAGAGGCTTTGCTCTACCCTGGGAGCTGCTGAGTCCCCTCATTCTGCTGCCACCACCATCCCTGACTACTTGACCTCTGTGCCAAGCTTGCCCTTTCCACTCAGCCATGGGCCAAAGGAAGTGGTACTTTCTCCAGGATCTTAGTGGGAAGCACCAGGAGAGCAGAATTTGTCTGCTGCTAGAAGATGACATGGAGATTCTTTCTTTCTTTCTTTTAATTTTTTTTTTAGTTGTAGTTGGACACAATATCTTTATTTTATTTATTTGTATGTGGTGCTGAGGATCGAACTCAGGGCGTCTCACGTACCATGTGAGCACTCTACCGCTGAGCCACAACCCCAGCCCCCCTGTGGAGGTTATTTCTGGTCAGCTACAGCATGGTGAGATCAACTGAGAGCGTGGACTTTGGTGAGAGGCGGGCCTGGGTTCCATTTGAGGATGTCGACTTTCTAGCTGTGTGTCCTGAGGCACTTCTCTGAGCCTCCACTTTCTAGTCTGTAAAATGTGGTGATAAAACCACCTCAGAGGATTGATGAGGGGTTGGATGAGGAAAGGGCAGGGCATGTTGCATGCTTACCACAGTCCCTGCCAAGTAAAACAGAGTGACCAGAAAATGGGGGGAGTTCATGTTACTGCCAACATGACTGTTTTGAGTAAGCGCTCTGCCTCCAGAGGTGACTGCTTGGTGGATCACAACCCTTGTGTTGAAGACTCTTTTCTTTTACATTAAAATGTCAGCTCACTTCTTAGAACACCCAAAACATAGGGATGTAAGAAAAAGGAGATAAGTTAAACTATTCAAAAATTAAAAATTTTGGTGCTCCAAAGGCAGAGTGGCCATGCCTGTGATCCCAGGAACTCAGGAGGCTGAGGCAGGAGGATTGTGAGTTCAAGACCAACCTCAACAACTTAGTGAAGCCCTGTCTCAAAATAAGAAATAAGGACTGTTTTGGGGGCTCAATGGTAGAGCGCTTGCCTAGCATGAGCAAATCCCTGAGTTCAATCTCCCTGCTATAAAACACCCACAAGACTGACCCATTTATATTGATATTCTGGAGAAGGCAAAACCGTAGGGTCAGAAAGTAGGTCTGAGGGGCCAGAGCCCCAAGGGGGTAAGGGATGGAGGGAGTGTGAAGGTGGGTGGGTACATTTGAGGGATTGTTCTTTATCTTGATTGGGGTGATGGTGACACAACTGTAGATGTTTTCCAAGGTACACTGAACAAAGTGACTTCCGCTCCGTGTAAATCATACCTCAATCAATATGACCCCTCCCTGAAGTCTTGATTTGCAAAATTGTAAATTATGATGAAAATCGTGTAAATACAATTTGCTGCAGAACCAGGAAGGGCAATTAGATGCACTGAAAAGGAAATCAGCATGAAGACACTGTGCAGTCCATACTCGGAAAAGCTGAAGGTTCCAAGCGACAAGACTGCACTGGTTCCTCTTCCTTTAACCCTCCATCAAGTCGTGAGAATAGGTGGCATGTTTAGCACTGCGGAAAATAATGACAAGAACAAAATAAAAACCACCTGTAAATAAGGTTTTGTTTTTACACAAATGGTAACTTATCACATACACTGTGCCTTTTTGTTGTTGTGTTTTTAACTGAATGTACCCTGGAGCTCTTTCTCCATCATTACATGGAAGGTTCCCTCTTACCAGGGATGGTAGCAATGCTCCCCAGGTCCCCACCTCCAGCTACTGACCTTGTAGGCAGGCCTCTCTCAGAACCCCTGTAATTCTGCATGGTCTGTTCCCTTTGCCCTTGACCAAGACAACAGCAAAATTATCACGGGGAGGACCCCATGCAGCAGGGCGAGACCAATGCACAGCATCTGCCTCAGTTATCTCCTTCAGAGATCCTGGATGCAGCCAGCTAAAAATGAGTCCCATTAGTCATCAAAATCTATCTTAGAAAAGGAGGTGGTGGCTTTTCTGTAAGTTTGGCACAGCACAAGCTGTTGAGGTAAAGCTGACCTGAACACCTTCCAGGACAGAGAAAATGTCACTGGCGTGTCAGGACACACACACACGAGGGGTATAATTCCACAGGACACACGTGTTGTCCACTGGGAACAGAGTCTACAGTGTCAGGGCAGGGTGTGCATGGGCCAGGTCATCAGAATATCAGGACTCCCAAGGTGACCCCCACTGAGGGACCTAAGGCTCTCACTAGAGTCCAAATTATTCAGTTTCGTGCAGGTTGCAAATGGACCGCTAGAGGCATCTTGTTCTAAACCCCTTTGCCAGCCAACAATCAGTGGGGACTGGATTCAGAATTCAAAGATTGAATCAGCTTGCCAAGGCAGCAGGGGGTGTTTTCCTCCAGGAAGAAGGGAGAGCTTCCAGAAACATCACAAATGTCCTTTCCTCCTGTGCTGAGCCTCCCAGGTTTTTTGTATTATTAAAAAAAAAAAAATCTGTTTGGATCTGGAACATCCCCCAAGCCCACGTGTTAAAGGATTGGTCTGGTTGCTTCTGGAAGAAGTGGGAACTTAAGAGGCGGGACCTAGGGGAAGGTCCTCAGGTGATTGGGGGCGTGCCCTCCAAGGGATAGTGAGAGCCCAGCCCCTTCCTCCTCTGTCCCTTCACTTCCTGGCCATGAAGTAAGTGGTTTTGTTGCATCAAGAGCCTCCACCATGATGCGCTGCCTCACTTCAGGCCCAAAGCCACGGGGCCAATGGACCATGGGCTGGAAACCCCAAAACTGGGAGCCAAAACAAACTTTTGTTCTTGTAAATTTATTTATCTCAGGTATTTGTTATAGTGACATAAAGCTGATGAATGGACCCACTCAGTAATTAAATCTTTAAATTTTTTCAGTAACCCCAGACCTTTTGTCCAGATGGGCTTTGTATCAGATAGGGGGAAAAGGGCATTTTTACAGAAATATTTTTATAAAACTTTACCAGAAAGATTCATTAGATTCAAGAAGGGGTTCAGGAAAAAAAAAGCCTGATTTTTCACAAATTTCCAAAATGGGTATACACAGCCTGGCATGGTAGTACATACCTGTAATCCCAGCAACTCAGGAGGCTCAGGTAGGAGGATTGCAAGTTTGAGGCTAGCCTCATCAAGTTTAAACAACCTGTTTCAAAATTCGGGACTGGGGTTGTGGCTCAGCAGTAGAGCACTCGCCTAGCACGGGCAAGGCCCTTGGTTCGATCCTCAGCACTACATAAAAATAAATAAATAAAATAAAGGTATTGTGTACAACTGCAACTAAAAAAAATAAATATTTTTAAAAAAACATAATAAGGGGCTGGGGATGTGGCTCAAGCGGTAGCGCACTCGCCTGGCATGCGTGCGGCCCAGGTTCGATCCTCAGCACCACATACAAACAAAGATGATGTGTCCGCCGAGAACTTAAATAAATAAATATTTAAAAAAAAAAACATAATAAAATTTAAAAAATACTTTTTTGGTTGTAGATGGATATAATGCCTTTATTTTTATTTTTGTATTGTTATGTGGTGCTGAGGATTGAACCCAGTGCCTCACACATGCTAGGCAAGTGCTCTACCACTGAACAACCCCAGCCCTAAAAAAGTATTTTTTTAAAGGGCTGGGGAGTTAACTCAATGGCAGAGAATACCTGGGTTCAATCCCTAGTACCAAAAAAAAAAAAAAAAAAGAAAGAAAGAAAGAAAGTTTTATATAACAGACCACCAAAGCTGGTGATGCTCCAGTGGTCAAGGGTTTGCCTAGCAGGTGACGCCTTGGGTCTGACCTCTGACACTGTAAAACAATAAATTAATCAAATTTAAAAAACAATACATGGGCTGGGGCTGGGGCTCAGTAGAGCCCCAGGTACAGCAGTCACCTAGCACGTGCAAGGCCCTGGGTTCAATCCTCAGCATCACATAAAGATAAATAAAAATAAAGGTATTGTGCCCAACTACAACTAAAATAAATAAACAAATATTAAAAATATATATATGTGTGTGTGTGTTACAGATATTATATAGATTATATATGTGTATACATATTTATAAATAAATAACATGTAATACATATATATATTACGTAGAAAATTTATTTGTATGTGTGTGTATATAAACATATACACACACATACATATATATTTTCTACATATTATATATATATAATTTCCCAGCCAGGTGCGGTGGCGAATGCTTGTAATCTCAGTGGCTCAGGAGGAGGAGGCAAGAGGATCCCAAGTTTAAAGCCACCCTCAGAAACTTAGCAAGGCTCTAAGCAACTCTAAGCAACTGTCTCTAAATAAAATATAAGAAGGGCTGGGGGTCAGGGCTGGAGTTGTGGCTCAGTGGTAGAGCACTCGCCTAGCACATGCGAGGCCTTGGGTTCGATCCTCACCACCACATAAAAAATAAAATGAAATAAAGGTATTGTGTCTGACTACAACTAAAAAAAAAGGCAAAATATTACGAAAAAAAGGGGGGGCTAGGGGTATGGCTCAGTGGGTGAGTGCCCCAGGGCTCAATCCCTGGTCCTGGTACAAAAAAATAAAAATAAAAACCTACCCTGTTGGTCCTGAGCCGCTGAGCAGCCTAGATGAAAAAAGTCTCACTGGGTCTGCTCTGCATTTGACCTAGTACTTCCTGCGGGTGCCCACTGGGAGAAATTGAGTGAAGTGGAATCAGGTTCAGACCACAGTTGCAAAATGCAAGGGACCAGGAACAAGCAAGAGAGGCTGGAGGGGTCCAGGCCCTGTGACGTGGCCTCCCCAACATGCTGCTGTGGGTGGGGATCCTGAGTTAAAGGAACGGACCACAGAAAGATGGAGCTGGAACTGGGGTGTGGCATGTAAACTCCCATGTGCCAGGCCCTGGGTTCCATCCCCAGCACTGATAGGGAAGGAAGGAGGGCAGGCAGGGCGGGAAGAGCAGGCTGATCTTGGATGAGCAAGAGCAAACCTTTCATCAAGACTTCTGTAAGTGACCCAGGTGATCCAGCAGCTCCAAGGTGTTTTCGCCCTATGTGGCTCCACAGAGGGGTGACTCCAATCTGCCACCATCATGGAGTCAGGATCTGACTCACTGGGCAAAGCAGCTGTGCCTGACTTCGGCTTGGAGTCAGTGTCAGGCACCTGGGCCATCAGGGTGCCAAGGAGGAGGGCTCCAGGGCGCCAGGGCTGCAGCCGCTGGGACGCTCACACTCCACCCCAGGGAAGCTGCTGCTTGACTTTCAGCCTTTCATTCCCCAAACAAAGCTTCTGCCTTGTGAAGCAGTAGAACCAGGCGGGGTCATCGCCAGTGTGTCAGGCTGAGTAGAGATGCCATGGCTGCCAGCACAGCGCCAGAAGTCCACAAGAGCAGCCCCAGTTCAGTGACTTGCTGGGAGCACTCGCAGTCCTGGTTACAGCCACACGCACGCTGGGATTCACGACAGCCAAAGAACAGAGCCAAGTGAGCAAAGGGAAAGGTACACCAGGTGAAGTCACAGGAAGCCAGCGAAGCTCCCAGTCCTCAGGCCCATGGGGTCACATGCTCATTCCTGCAGCAGCCTGTGAAGTGGTCTCTGAGAGGGACGCTGGATCAAGTCAGAGTCCACCAAGATTTTGCCAGGGGTGGGTTGTTGGCACCCTCTGCAGAGAACAGCCCAAATCCCAGGGAAGGGAAAAACACTGTGTGTGTGTGTGTGTTTCTCCCCGCTGTGGTGCCAAGGATCAAACCTAGGGCCTCACACATGTAGGCAAGTGCTCTACCACCCAGCTCCACCTCCACCCGCCACTTGTGCAAACCTCTGGGCATAACCACTGTTGTCATTTCTGAAATCCAGGTTCCAGGGTGCCAGCCCAGCCCCCAGTGTGTACCCTTTCTGCCCCTCAGGGTGTGGTGCAGGTTGGCCCATCTGTTTAGAGTGACCGTTGAGCAAGGTCCCTGGAACCCACCTCTTGGCCCAGGCTGGGCACAGAGAGCAACGGCCACATCCCACTGCTGCTAATCTGTTATCACCTGAGCCCAGTCTGAGCTAGTGGCATCAGGGAGGAACAAGGGTGCTCCAGACACAGGGCTACACACGTTCCCCTCCCAGGGCTCTGCCCACAGATGGCAGTGGCACCTGTAGGCATCCAGATGGGACTCAGACACACAATGTTTCTGGAAGCAAAGTCCAGAGGGGAGGAGGAACATAGTCACAACCCCTGCTCAGTTGAACTGGACACCAGCCTTTGGCTCCCAGGGCTGCTGATGACGTGCTTCCTGGATTCAGCAAACATTGACCTTGTGCCCAGCATATTAGCCAGGCCAGGCTCCAGGAATAAGGGTTTGAATTGGCCACAGTGTGCAGGGGACAAGGTGTTCCTGCTGGCTTGGGGGGATGGGTGGGCTGCACTGAGCTCTTCTCCCCCAGTGGAACCTTCTAGGCCTGTGAGCTCCACTCTAGTTTTCTCAAATGGAAAATAGACTCAGGGAGCTGAGGTGGATGTGGGTGGTGGGGAGGCAGGAAGCCTGGAGAGCCATCTAGGAGGTAAAGAATGAGGGGGTGGGACCAACTCGCCTGCCTATAGAATATCCCAGAAGACAGAGAAAGGCAGGGAGGGGATGGGTGGATGGGTGGATGAGATCCAGCTGCAGAGTTCAAAGGGCTGCAGGGCAGAGTTCTGTTCTGACCCCAAGGTCACCAGCTCTGTGATCTTGGGGAAATGCATTTGCCACTCTGGCCTCAGTTTCCTGGGGACATCAATATCTCCCATTTCGATGCAATTTAAACTGTGGGCCCCAGAGGTAGAAGCCCTGGTTCACACTCCAGTTCTGTGCAGCCACTTGCCAAGGGCACAGCCTGGGAGAGTCCTCTGTGTGTCCTGTACTCCAACCCCCAGGGTTGCTGGCCAGGGTTTCCATCATCAAAGTAATGAAGAGAGTTTCAGGAGACTGGCATGGACCCAGAGCCTGGTGGGTGCTGGAGACTGGGCAGGGGCAAGGCCAATGCTCTCTTTCAATACTCAGGCTATAGCAATGTCAAGGACTCAACCCCCATCAGGGCCCCCCAGATCACAAAGAAACAGCTATTGAGCCTGTATTCTGTGCACTGTGCAGGTCCAACTCCAAAGACTGGCACTGTATCTCACAGAAGTCCTTCCATGCTATTATGGTTCTCATTTTATAGATGGAAAAACTGAGGTCAGAGGGTCTGTGGTGTTCCCCAGTAAACAGTATATAGCAGAACCAGAAAGCAAACCCCTGAACACGTGCTCCAACTGCCATGGATAAACCCTTTTATCCCAAAGACAGTCTATGTGTTTGTTCTGCCAAGAGGAATTCAAGACCAGTGCACAGATTCCCGGAGTAAGAAGTTCTCAAGCTACCACTGCCCTCAAGCTGGCCTTCGCTTCTGAGCTTTGACTCTGGATGGCAAAGATCACAGTCCCACCCTGGGGTCCTGGCGGAAATGTACCCTGGGCTCCTTGCCCTGGCTCTGCCCCCACTGCCTAGTGGACCAGGGTAAGTCACTCCCCCTCTGAGCCTGGCAGCATTGCCTTGTCCTGTGAGGCTCAAGGCCTTTGGAGCTGAGCTCACCTCCCCACCCCCAGGCGGGCCAGGGAGGTAGGGGAAGGCCCTGCCCCCTGGTAAATACGACTGTCCAGCACTCCCAAGCTGCGTGTCCCGGTCTTCCTGGCAGGAAGCTTGACCCAGATCAGCCATGGTGAGGGTCTGCCTAGGGCCATGGTGGCTCCCTGAGGGATAAGGACCTGCCATGAGACTTCAGCAGTGCCTGTCCCCCTGGCAGAGCCTCACTGTCTTTTTCTTTCTCCTTAGACGACCTATAGTGACAAAGGAGCAAAGGTGAGCAGGAAGGGAATGGGGGACCTGGGTCTAGAAGGGAGTCTGGGCTGGGGAGACCAGCATGTGAGCACAAAGTGGAGAGGAACAAGATTGGGGGTCTGATAATACCTGGGCTCCCCCAGACTGGCTGGACTCACTTGTACCCTCCTGAAAAACTGTCAGCTCTTCTTCATTTACCTGCTGAACTCTTCATCTCATTTGGAAGCTCTGGCTAAGTCTCCCTTCAATCCCTACTGCTGTGGCTGTTCCTCCTGGGAAAGCTGGGCTGCCTCCTGAGGGGCCTTCCCAGTCCCAAATACTCCTGCACACTCCAGGGGCTCAATTTCTAAATGAGCAGTGTCTCCTGAGGCCAGGCAGAGCTCGGTGGGGTTTGGCCTCTCCTAGGTGCTGGAGCTGAGTCAGCCTCCCTCCTTCTCTCCTCCTGCAGCCTGAGAGAGGCCGATTCCTTCACTTCCACTCCGTGACCTTCTGGGTTGGAAACGCCAAGCAGGTATAAACCAGGGCAAGGTGTTGGAGTGGGCAGAGGACAGGCAAGAGGGTCCCCTGGACAGGGCAGGCCCCCAGCTGGTCTGGGATTGAATCCTGGAATGGGGAAATGGGGGCCCAGTAGGGATCCAACACTTTGAACCCCAGCTGGAAACTTCTGGGAGGGCACAATGTACCAAAGAGCAGCCTTTTCCCCAGTGCAGTCTCTGCTTCTGAGCAAGAGGGCAGGCAGGGGACAGGGACTCTCATCTGGGCCCCAGGCAGGTTCTCCACCCTCCCGAACACTGTCACCTCTCTGTCTTTAGGCTGCCTCCTTCTACTGCAGCAAGATGGGCTTTGAGCCACTAGCCTACAGGGGCCTGGAGACGGGCTCCCGGGAGGTGGTCAGCCATGTGGTCAAGCAAGGAAAGGTACGTCCACACCCCAGGGACCCCTTGCTCTCAGGGCTCCCTTGGGGACCTTCCCAGGAGGGTCTCCTCAGCCTGGTCCAGTGCTGGCCCCACAAGTTCAGCAAGCCAAGGCCATAGGTGTAGGAAGTTTCAGCAGAGTTGTGGCCCATGGGGTTCTGGGAGTTCTCTCCCAGGGGACCCAAAAGCTGATCATGGGTCCCAAGGGTGGCACAGGAGAAAGTCCCCAGCCCTTATGACTAGGGGGAGAGGCAAGGCAGAGAAGGAGCTAGAAGCTGTGATTCAGGAGTCCTGCATGGCTGCCCCCTGCTCCACCAGGGGTGAGCAGGAGGGAGGGGAGGTGCACCTGCCCACGCTCCCCTGAGCCACCAGTCACACCCCCTTCTCCACCATGGTAGATTGTGTTTGTCTTCTCCTCTGCACTCAACCCCTGGAACAAAGGTGAGGGGCCCCGGGGTGGCAGCAGGGCTGTTGGAGGGGCCAGGGGTCAGAGGGCAGGGCCTGGGAAGGGCATGAGGGGGGCTGAGCCCAGAAGGCTGAGAGCCTGTCCAGGGGCCTTGAACTCCAGTGCCAGCACTCCCTGCCGACCACAGAGATGGGCGACCACCTGGTGAAACACGGGGATGGCGTGAAGGACGTGGCTTTCGAGGTGGAAGACTGTGACTACATTGTGCAGGTGAGAATGCACCTGGGCTGGCCTGGGAAGAGGCCTTAGGCATATCTGGCTCTCCGTGGGCCACAGGGACCCTGTCAGTCAGGGCTGGATGTTGGCATGACATACCTAAGTCCTAGTGACAGAAGCCTGGCCCTTACTGTGTGTCCTCGCTTTCATGTTCCCACACATGTAAAATGGGGATAATCATAGCCTGTACCTCACTAAGTTTTAAAAGAGGAAATGGAGCCAGACATGGTGGCACATGCCTGTAATCTAGTAGCTCAGGAGGCTGAGGCAAGAGGATCAAAAGTTCAAGGGCAGAGTCAGCAACTTAGTGATGCTCTAAGCAACTTAGGGAGAACCTGTCTCAAAGTAACACTAGAAAGGGCTGGGGATATGGCTCAATGATTAAGTGCCCCTGGGTTTCAAACACGGGTACCAGAGAAAGAGAGGGAGAGAGAGAGAGAGAGAGAGAGAGAGAGAGAGATGGGGGTGGGGAGAGTGGAAATTACAATTTCTGGACTATGACTCTGAACCAAATGCAGTCCTAAAGAATGGTGAGGCCCTGGGTTCAATCCCCAGCACTGAAGGAGAAAAAAAAAAAAAAAAAAAAAAAGATGGATTGGAGGTTCAGAGTAGATTCCAGAGCTAGCATGACTGGGTCTGGGTGAGTTCGTGTTCCTCGCTGTAGAAGGCAGACAGGGCTGCTGTGAGGACTGCCAGTGCATCCCCAGAACAAGCCTGGCCTGGGTGTCGCATTGGCCTACAGTAAGCAAGGGCTTGCTAAATTAAGGCACAGACTTGGCATGCAGGGCTCCTGGAACAGGGCCCAACACACAGAGGTCACTTCAGAAATGTCTACCCACATTCTTCTTATCCTCCACTCTTTGTACAGGGAGGGATGCTGAGGACTGGAGGGGGAGGAGGGCCACAGAGTGAGTTAGGAGAAGCAGACACACACACCGCCTTGTCTCCCAAGCCCCAACTCTGAGCCTGGGCCTCAGTTTCCTTTCTTGCTCAATGGGGACTAGGCACACTTTGGAGGGGGGACAGGTGACACTGCCATGTCAGAACCACATAGAAACCAACCCAGCCAGAGGAGCAGGCCAGGACTCGGGGGCCCCAGCCCTCACTGCCTCCCCCTGCTCCATCTCCCTACAGAAAGCCCGAGAACAGGGGGCCAAGATAGTTCAGGAGCCCTGGGTGGAGGAAGACAAGTTTGGGAAGGTGAAGTTTGCTGTGCTGCAGACGGTGAGTTCCCTTTGATGTCCCTGCCCCTCCTGCTGCCAGAACCCACTGAGATGCCAGGATGCTCCTAATTCACCCCATTATACCATCCCACCCTTGGGCCTCAGAACATGGACTTCCCCTGGGATCTGACCTCTCAAAGTGCCTGGCCAGAGTGCAGAGGTGGCTGGGGCCACCAGCCACCCTTCCCAGGTTCCCCTGGCCCCCCCAGTGGGAGGTGACAGCTTGCAGGGCATCAGCTTTGTGCAGGGACTTGTTCAAAAGGAGAGAAGGGTGGGCCTGGGAAGCCATACCCCACACTAGCTGTGAGACCTAACTTCCCTCTCTGCAACTCAGTTTAAATAAGGTGGAACTGGACTCCTGTGTGACCTAGGGCACACTAATGAACCATTCTGTGCCTCGGATCCTTCAGCTGGAACCCTAATCAGGGCCATTGTGTGTGCCGAGTGTGACCATTGGCGTAGAACACTTAGAAGAGCAGAGCCTGGCACACCGTAGGCACTTAGCAGAGATGACTGATTCTGCAGCCCTTGTTGCTGTAGGACAGAGACGGCCCGAGGTCCCACCTCCTCAAGATCACATCAGGCATTAATCCCATTGATCACCCTTCAGCATGATTAGAGCCGATGCCTCCATGGTTATCATCATCAACACAGTTTCACTGAGCACCTGCTATGCGCCAGGCACTGCCTAGGATCCAAAGACAGCATGATGAGTAAAACAGCATCCCTGTCCTCACAGGGCTTCTGGTCCCCTGAGGCAGTTAGATTGAGATTGAAACTCCTAAGTGAATGATAGAAGGCAACACATGTCAGTCAGGGGAAGTGACTTTCCCAGGATAGATTTAGGAACTCAGGCTGGGTCAGGGCCATGAAAAGACCCAGCCCTGCCCAACCTTGTCTCCCTGCCTGAGCATGGGTGGGGTCCTAGGGCTGAGCCAGTCTGCTTCCCACCCGCAGTATGGCGACACCACACACACTCTGGTGGAGAAGAAGAACTACACCGGCCGGTTCTTACCTGGATTCGAGGCCCCCCTGCTTAAGGACTCCCTGCTTCCCAAGCTGTGAGTGCCCATGCTGCAGGAGTCCGGTGGAGAGCCCTGAGGCGGGTGGAGAGCCTGCCCCCTCCTCCATGTGGACTGGGCTTCTGTGATGGGATGGAGCTCCTGGTGGCTACTGGAACCCTCTGAGGGCACAGAATACACAGGCCACAACACCTGAGGGCCCCAGGTCCCATCCCAGCTTCCTCCCTCCTCAACCACTGGACCTTGGGCAGGGCGCTGCAGTTTTCCATGGCCCTGGGTCTTCATCTATAAAGTAGGGGTTGCACTAATGAGTTAATTAAGCGCTTTGGTCCCCTGTAAGAGCTGCAGAGGTGGGGGCTGTGGTTATTACGGGGGCAGTGGGATTGGTGAGATTTGGGGGGCAGCCTTCTCCTTGCCCCTCAGTACTGTCCTTTTCCTAGGCCCAAGTGTGGTCTCGAGATCATCGATCACATTGTAGGAAATCAGCCTGATCAGGAGATGTTGTCTGCCTCAGAATGGTGAGCCCTGTCCCTCCCCCACAAGGGCCCTCGCCCTAGTCCTTGTACCAGGTAGAAAGGAGCACAGGTGGGTGGGAGGTGAACCTGGGCGAGCCCTTCAGTTATTCCCCATACATTGTCCCCTGAAGAACGAGGGGTTCAGGGCCTACTGCAATCCACATCCCCCCCCATGAGGAACTGCAAGGGTGTTCCTTCCAGTCAGTGGGGGGCAGATGCCTCTACCTGACTTGGTCTGCTTCCTGCTGGCCTCCCACAGCGGGAAGTGGGGAGAGACCAGAGCAGAGGTCTGAGCTCCCTTTAGAACAAACCCAATCATGGGAACTGACTGGCTCTGACCATGACATTAACATACTCCTGAGGCAGAGCCCTGGGTGACCTAATCACCTCTGAAGGTTCCCTAATACCATTGCACTAGCAGTTAAAGGCCAGCAGGAGGCACAGGAGCCCCCTGCACCACCCAGTCCCCCTACCTGAGCATGGCCTCCTATGTGGCTTCTGATATGAGACACTTTATTTCCACCTTGAGAAAAACTGTCACAACAAGGGTAAAGACCTACAGCATGTATGATGTGATTGTCATCTCCCTTCTGGAGCCCCCTTGGGGACATGTTCTGGAGGGTGGAAGTGGGAGCAGGGGAAGCCAGTCCCAGGCCAGAACTCAGAGCAGATGTGTCCTTCCTGCCACCTGCAGGTACCTGAGGAACCTACAGTTCCACCGCTTCTGGTCTGTGGATGACACACAAGTGCACACAGAGTACAGCTCTCTGCGCTCCATTGTGGTGACCAACTATGAGGAGACCATCAAGATGCCCATTAATGAGCCCGCAATGGGCAGGAAGAAATCCCAGATCCAGGTGCGGCCCTGCCTGGCTGGGGAAGGAGAGAGGAGGGAAGAGGCTTGAGGCCTCCGGCAGGGCAGGGCAGGGGTGTGGGGAATGGAAGCAATGACAGTGGCCTCCTGTTCGCCTTTCCCAGGAATATGTGGACTATAATGGGGGAGCTGGAGTCCAGCACATTGCCCTGAAGACCCAGGACATCATCACAGCGGTGAGAACACCATCCCTGGTCTTAAGCCCCCTCCCTTCAGCTCCAGGGATGGTCTCTGCAGAATGGGAAGGGAGGGGACAGTGGCAGTCTGGGGTCCCCTTCTCCAGCCTGGAGGGCTGACAGGGTTCCCTGCCTGGTTCCTGCAACTCCTGTGTAAGTAATCCCTACCCATCTTACTTGGAAGAGTTTGGTGTCTCTAGAACACTCTGGCTTTAGTGGTGACAGATGCTAGAGGATAAGGAAGACTGCATCCTGCTCCCAGATCTGCAAGTCCCTTGCCATTTGTCTCTGGGGCACTCAGCAGCCTTCCTGGGCTTCAGCTGCCTCACCTTGAAAATGAGGATATTATACTATAAGATCAGACTTGTGCTATCCTCCAAATCAAGCACCCTGTGTCTGTAGCTCTAGCCCTTGGGGAGGCGGGTCCTGCCTAGGCCTTAAGGGGAAGAGCCTGGACTGTCCCATCCAATCCTGTGGAACTTTATTTGTATCATGTCTGTTGAGGCCCTGCCATGTGCTAGGTGCTATTTTAGGTATGTGGGACACATTAGTAACAGTTTCTGCTCTTATGGAGTCAAAAAGCAAATTAAATAAATAGGTGGTGTGAGAGGTCTGGAAGAACAGGTAGGATATGGGGGAGCAAGGGTGGGGGCTTTTCACCTTTAAAGTGGGTGGTCAAGGAAGGTCACATGGGGAAGGAGACTTTTGAGAATGCAAAGGGTTGGAAGGACAGAAGCCCATGGAAATCTCTAAGAAGGACCCCGGGCAGGAGGGATGGCCCAGGCAAAGGCCCTGAGATGGGTATCTTCCAGGAAGTTTGCAGGAACAGCAAGGAGATCATCAGTGTGACTGGAACAGAATGAGCAAGGGAAAGAGAGGTGGGAGATGGAGTCTAAGGTGGAAGTGGGGGCAGCTGGTGAGGGCCTGGCAAGAACCTGGAATTGGACTCTGAGATGAGGCACCACTATGAAGTAAACACTGAATGACATGATTTGGCCTGTGTTTGAATAAAATCCACTCTGGCTTCTCTGCTGAGAACAGATACTTAAATCTCTCCATGCCTCAGTTTCCCAGCTATGAAATGCACAGAGCAGGATTGCTTCAGGGACAGGACGAGGCAAGACTAGAAAGACAGGCACATAATGGTGCTCTGTGAATGTCAGGGATCCCTGCTCTAATGGGACTCAGACAAGGACAGAAGGGGCTGAAGCCACACTGCATCCTGGCACTCAGGAGAGCAAGGACAGGGATCCTGCCTCCTCATGGCCCAGCAGCTCCACCTGGCTTAGGGACATTGAGCCTGGAAACACAGAGGCTGACCTCAACCTGCTCTACGACAGATTCGTAGCCTGAGAGACCGAGGCCTGGAGTTCTTGAGTGTTCCGTCAACCTACTACAAGCAACTTCGGGAGAATCTCAAGACAGCCAAGATCCGGGTGAAGGAGAGCATTGACGTGCTGGAGGTGAGGCCCAGAGGGATGCTAGGCCACAGGCAATGTGAGCCCTGAGTTCCATCTGGCCTCCCCCACCCTGCAGCAGACACAGGCACACAGAGGGAAAACCAGAAAGAAACAGAGTGTGTGTGTGTCGGTGCCATATAAAGTTAAAACAAGCAACCTAGGGCTACTTTACAGGAAGTGGCGAACTTTCTGAGAAGGTGACTTTAATTGAAAGCTATATAATAAGAGGGACCTGGCCAAGAAGAGAGCTAGGAAGAGCATCCCAGCAGAGGGAAGAGCAGGTGCAAAGGTGATGGGGTGGGAGCAAGCTCCAAGTGCTCGAGGAGCAGGAAGAAGGCTCATGTGGATTGAAGACAGCATCTGAGAAGAGGTGTACCAAGGCAGGTAGGCGGTTCCACTTGGGGGCTCTTAAGACAAGATTTTGCACTTCTTTAGCCACAAAGCATTGAAGGTTTTTTTTTTTTTTTTTTGGTTTTGCTTTTTAGCAGGTTTTTTGGGGCATAGAAGTCACATTAAATGTTACCCATTATCTATATGTTAAAATCAAAATGAATTTTAGATTTTTTTTTTTTTGTACAAGGTATTGAACCCAGGAGTGCTTCACCACTGAGCTACACCTCCAGCCCTTTCTATATTTTATTTACAGACAGAGTCTCACTGTGTTGCTTAGGACCTTGCTAAGTTGCTGAAGCTGGATTTGAACTCGTGATCTTCCTGCCTCAACCTCCAAGATGCTGGGATTACAGGCGTATGCCACCATGCCCAGCTCAATTTAAGAACATTTTCATTTTCCCCCAAAGAAACCCTGATCCTCTTAGTTGTTACCTCCCAAACCCTCCACTTCACTCCTCCTGCCCCAACTTTAGGCAACCACTAGACTCCCTTTGGTCTTAACAGATTTGCCTAGTCTGGAATTTCATATAAATGAAACCATACAACATGTGATCTGTTATGACTAGGTTTTTTTCACTTAGTATAAAGTCTTCAAGGTTCATCCAGTTTTAGCCTAAGTCAGTACTTCATTTCTTTTTGTGTGTGGAGTGCTGGGGATTGAACCCAGGACCTCGCACATGCTAAGCAATCCTTCTAACGGAACTCCCTGTCTCTCGCCCAGGAGCTGAAAATCCTGGTGGATTATGACGAGAAAGGCTACCTCCTGCAGATCTTCACCAAACCCATGCAGGACAGGCCTACACTCTTCCTGGAAGTCATCCAGCGCCACAACCACCAGGTAGGCCCTGAGCAGGGCCTGCAGGGAGCATCATCTGCTTTCTGGGTCCCCAGCTCACCTGCTGTCTCCCACTCCAGGGTTTTGGAGCCGGCAACTTCAACTCGCTGTTCAAGGCTTTCGAGGAGGAGCAGGCGATCCGAGGCAACCTCACAGATCTGGAGACCAACGGGGAGGTGTCCGGCATGTAGGCCCCGCCCACCGAAGGCCAAGCCCCTAGTACTGGGACACGCCACCTTCCCCGCCCTCAAAGTCAGATCCGCCGGGTCTCGCTTCCCCATTTAGACCCCAATCGACTTCGGGATCCAAGGCTCCGCCCACCACTGACCACGCCCCCCTGGTTGAGCTACTCTTGTGATTAAAGTGGACCTGGTCCAAGGCGGTGTGTGGAGTTTGTGCCCGGGAGGAGCAGTGGCGCCCCTTCGCCACGAGGGGGAGGCCAGAGCCACGGCATTTCGGAGGCATCTCCTTAGGATCCCTGCGCCCTGCGACCCAAGCCAGCGTGGGGTGGGGTGCAAGCGCTTTGCTAAGCGGGACTGCGCTGGTCGGGGGGATTTCTGGAACATGGGGACCGGGAGCCTACAATCTAGAGAAAGGACCGGTAATACCGTTTCCTAGAAGACAGTCAAGCAGGTCTGAGGTTGAGAGGCGATGGAGGTGGGAGGAGGACTAATTCAATCAAGGGAAAGCCCCTCTGAGAAGGTGACTTTGGGGAGCCGCCGAGGGAAATAGGGGAAAGCGTTTCTCGGGTAAAGACAGCGGCAAGAGATAAGGTCCTGAAGTGGGACAGAAGGTGGCAGCATCCAGACTGGTGGCTTTATGACTGCTAAAGATGCGCTGTCTTGGACTTGGTTACCGGGCGTCCAAACCTCTGAACAAGTGAGAGGGGAGAGTTAGCCAAGGGACTTTAGGGGCGCTATCCTTGCTGGGCAACCAAAGAACACAGGACAGGTAGAAGGGATCTGAGCCTCTCAGCTTCTGCCCTGCACCCTCACGTGACAGTTCACGATGCCCCACCCAATGCCACTACACCCGCCCTTGTCCCCAGTGAAAAATACTTTTAGAAAGGGGTTCTTCATACTCAGCCACCAGCGACCCTTGCAAAAGAATGAGGCAACTGGTCCTGAAACCCTTGAGAGGCAAATATTTCTTCAAAATCAAAGAAGAGGGGGTTAGGGGAGTAGCTCAGCAGTAAAGAGTTTGCCTAGAATGTGTGTGCAAGGCCCTGGGTGCTGTCAGTCCCCAGCACAGCAAAAACAGACAAACAAACAAACAAAAAATCAGGCAGCAAAGAAGAGATGGGTGGGGGGCAAATTTGGTCTCTTCCTTCTGCTTTACATGCTGACATCCCTGCCTGAATAAGGGTCAACTCAAAACTAGGTACAGGTGGATGGATCTCCAGGCAGGGGGGAAAAAATCTGAGATGGTATTAAGGGGGAAATTGAGAGATTTTTTTTTTTCAGATTAGAGAAAATATCAGGGTTTCTGGGATCATGAAATTCAAAAATGAAAAGAACATGGGAGAGAATCAAGATGAACAGGTGCCAGGCCCATGCAAAAATAGTCTCCCTCTATTCTCCCATGACTTATGCAAAGGGAAATTCTATAACCCAGAAGGCAGCAGATTGGTGGCTTCTAGGCTAAATCTGGCCCATAGATGTATTTTATGTTGTCTGCATGGTTTCAAACAAGTTTGCAACAATATTGTAGAAAGTTGTGCTTTTATATACAGACTCTGGTTCTTTCTGGAGCAGTCAGAGGACTCAGGCTTGCCTTCCTATGCAGCAACAGGCAGCTGGTGCTAAGTGTAGGTGCCTCTTTAGATTCATTTGAAGGCTTGGGTTCTGGGCAGAATAATCCCCCGTTAGCTGGACTCAGACTAGGGAACCAGACTGCGGGATTCACATCCTGATCATCGCTAGCTGTATGACCTTGGCATGCTACCTGGCTTCTCAGTGCCTGTGTTTCTTCATCTCTTGAACAGTGCTGAGAGCTGCCGAGTTTCATATCAAAGGTATGGCTTGCACAGTGAGGAAATATATGTGTTTTTATTCCTGGAAAAGGGACTGGGTGAATGACTCCTGCCCAAGTCTGCCTGGAACCCCCACCCACCTCTCCCTCGGTCAGATATACACACATCTCAAGTTGGGGTTCTCCTTTTAGCCCCCTGCTATGGAACCAGTGGAAGAGCCTTACTCAGCAGGATTATGGGAGATCAGAGGGAAAGTGGATAGATCTGAGGAATAACAGAGAACCACCACCAGATCTGGGAGGGGAGAGGAGGGGGAAGGTAGAATCCAGGATGGCTGGACTTTGAGCTTAAGACAGCAGCAGAACGTGAGTGAAGCAGGACACAGAAGTGCCATTGACTAAGCTGGAAAATTTGGCAAGAGGAACAGTTTCAGAATGCAAGGTATTATCTATTTTTTTTTTTTTTTTTGTATTCAGATGAGTTTCCTCCATGTACCTAGGGCTGGACCCCTGTGTTACCCTTACATTCCCCTGTAAGGCCCAGCGCCGTCTGCCTCACCTACTTGATACCTCTCAGATTTATTTTTTTACCCCCTTGCATGTCAGGCTTAACTTCTGACAGTGCACACTTGGGCCCAGGGCTTATGTGCCTTTTAAATCCCTAATGTCAATCTTAATGTTTCCTCTTAAAGGTTACAACAATTAACATTTCCACAATGATGCCCCAGTCTCCTTGCCTTGTGCCAACTGCCATGGGGTATTTTGCAATTTCCAAGTCTGGCCAGCTTGTCAGAGAAAAAGAGTGCTGTCCACACTTCTCTAGTAAGAGAGGCCCCACATCTTTTCAGTCAGGTTGCTTTTGCTAAGATTCCAAGACTTTCCTTCATGGAAATACCCTGGACACCATCTAACAAACACCACAGGCCCCTCTTCACCCTGTCAGGGGATCAAGCAGTGGCCCTGGAATACCACAAACACTCTCTTCTCAACTTGTGGTATTTTATCTGTCTCTTCTTCCTTTCAGTTGCAGTCCAGAGGGATGTCTCCCAAGTGTTAAAACATGGTTGAGGAACCACCTTTCCAGGTACTTCTGGTGATAGTAAGATACTTGATCTTGTTTCCTTAGCTGCAGACTATTAGCAGCATTAGATACAGGAGTTATTCTGCTTGTTTTGGCAGCATGTATACTAAAATTGAAAAACACCTAAGAAAAAAATCTACAAGAAAAACTTAAAATATGTGTAAGGTCTTATCTGACTGTAATTTTGTAATTTGGTCCAGTTTATAGACTCCACTTACAGGCTCAGAGTTTAAGAACGATGGTCTGAATGAACCACACCATACCCTCCTCCAGTTACTGGCCAGCCTGCCCTCCTTGTGAGCAGGGTGTACTCCCAACAGATAGAAAAAAAATGAGGAGGATAGGGAGAGAGAGGAGAGCAAGAGAGACGGCGTATCTGTAAGAAAAGTCAGTATATTTATGGTTTGCTTTATAAAAGTTACTATAATACAATGGTACATAGTATTGAATTCACAAAAATATGAACAAATATTTACAGCAAGACACACCCACAACGGAAACACTTCTCTTCAAAACAAGTTACATACTGATGGATGACAGAGTCTATACGTACAAACATCTCTAAAACTTATTCTCTTTGCGGGGGGAGGGAAAGAAGAAAGAGGGGAGAAGGCAGAGAAAAAGAAAAAAAAAGCAGAAACCCCCAACACTTCAAAAGCAGAGAATCTGTTCAATGAAAACAAAGGCTTTGAGAGAAAAATGGGCCAACACACATGTGGATTATTGCAAAGCATCCTGGGGTGGGGCGGGGGTCCTGGGGAAGATGGGGGCCCAGTCCCTCGCCATTGGTCAAGGCTGGCCAAGCATTAACACAGCCTCCTTGCTGGGCGAGGGGAGGCACAGCAAGGGCCGAGGTGGGCCCTCCCTGGATTCCTCACATCCCCCACTTTTCTTTTATGGAGGCGGAGGGGAGAATGGAGGCAGCCCCTTGGGGGCTGCACAAGTAACTTAAATCGGCTCTCTCTACAAACTACACATTTCCTCATGTGAAAAATAAATATTTCCTCGGTTGCACCATTAGGCAGAAAACTGCAAACAGAAGAGAAGGTCGCCGCTGTGTCCAGGTGCCCCCCTGTCTTAATGCCATCGATTTCCTTGACCTTGGAACCGGTGGGTACAGTCTCAAACAGAGGGCCTGCGGTGAAGAAATTAAAAAAAAAGAAACCACACACACACACACACACACACACACAACAAAACCACAACAACAAAAAAGAGAAAAATAACAATTCTTTGTACAGAATTTACATGATAACAAGCTTGACACAAGCTGAGATACCAGAGGCTGGCAGCCTGGGCCGCGGTGGGCGCGGCTCCCACCCAGCGCTCCCCTTGGTGAGCACCTGGGTCACAACAGTCAGTTCCAGAGATTATTTACACGCCTGCTCTGCTTTCCAGGGGGCAGGGGACTTGCATTCGTGTCTTTTTTTTTTTTTTTTTTGGAAGTACAAAGAAATGAGCAAAAGTCTTCCCACATGTTTCTACAAGAAACAAGTTCCCGAGAAAAAGTCCTTTATGGCAGTCTATATACAAAGTTGGTTCTGAACTTCAAAAACCTATTTTTTTCCCTTCGTTTTGATTTTATACACGCACTAGAAAAAAAAAAATTCATGGAAATAAACCCTGAAAAGGATGAGAAGGGAGGGGGAGAAAGGGTAAAAAGGAAAAAAAAAAAAAACCACTGTCAAAGACTTAGATCCGAGTTTTAAAATCTTTCCCAAGATTTTTCTTTCTCTGGGAGAAATAACCTGCTCACTCCGAAAATAAATATGCTCTGGCCTTGAGGGGTGGCCAGGGGTGGGAGGCGGGGAGGTGGATGTGGGCTGGGCTGCGGGTGAAGCTTATGAACGAAAAATGCCACATGCATACGGTCAGACAGCCCGTAATGGTGGAGGGAGACCCCTGCCCTGGGAGCCCCCTTAGCCTGCACGGGTTGAGGGCAGTGGAGAGTGGAGACCCCCCCTTGCCAGTGCCCCCCACGCTGGGCCCCAGGGAAGCCCCCTCATTGCTGGCATCCGAATGAGAAAGTAAACATTGAGCCCCAAGGATTTGGGGGGCAGGGAGTGCCCAGGGGACCTTCCTGCCTGGGACCAGCTTGGCTCTCCCAGGCCCCAGGGAAGGGACAGACTGGGGAGCAGCTCAGGGGAAGAGGTGGGGTCTCCTCACTGCGTTCACTGGCAGAGAGGGGGCCTTTCGGCATTGTAGTGTCGAGGTCAAGGCCACTAGCCCGGCCCTTCCCCCCAGCACCTGGCCCGGTCTGCCCAGAGGGTGCAGGGACCCTTCGTCCTGGAGGCCTCTGGCCCCACCGGGTCCCCCCTCTCTGTTC